CTTCTACCCGGCACCTCGCCGCTGATCCTGAGGCCCCGACGGGTTCAGAAGGCGCCAGCCGAGCTCGTGGCCAGACAAAGCCGCCCAAGATGTCCCCGAAGCCTACGCCCTCGAGTCGATTGAAGTAGCCCCCCCCATACTCAAACACGAACCCGAACATCTCCCAGAAGATGAAGGTGACGAGGAGGAGAGGGACGCACTGCGACGCGACTCCGTCGCCCGACATAGACGGCGGCCCCTTGCTGCCTAACTCGAAAGACTCTGCTTTGAGAAACGGATAACGCTCGAAAGCTGCGTGGGGAACTTTTGCCCGCCCCTAGAGACGACGGATGGCCTGGGCCAGACGGTGGCCCGACTTCAGACGGGTCAGTGGGATATCCTCGCCCAGGGCGTGGGCCATCATGACGTTCCGAGGCAGATCGGCCACGCTCTTCAGATAGTCCAGCAAGTTGGCCGAGATGATGCGTGGACCATTGCCCGCTAGGACGGCGGTCTCGATAATGCCGAACACCCCCCCAATACACATGGGAAAGAGGATGCCGCTGACGACCTTGGCCGCGCCTCCCACGCAGCGCGCCGACTTCATTCGGGCGCCCGACATGGGCACCGAAAGGATGGGTACAATGCCCAACGGCAAATGTTGTTCCAAACCAACAGCGGCCGCCGTTGGGCAGGCGGCCCCCTGTCTCGAATGGGCGCAGGCCGCGGCGGCGCAGACAGCGAGCCCCGGTCAGAATGAACCAGATCCGCCGTTGGGCATTGCACCCATTCTTTCAATGCCCATTTCGCGCGCGCAGTCTTCAGCGGCCGGTGCGACTGAGGAATCTCGACGCACTGTATGCCGAGCTCCGCGAGCGCCCTTGACTCTCTGTTGAGAGCCTGCGCGCCGACCAGGTCACTCCCGGCCCCGGGATCGACCAGCCCCTGGTCGGCGGCCGCGGCGATATACACGGAGCCCGGCGAGCCCGATGCGAGTGCCACCGAGTTGTTCCCACAGCACCGTCGAACACGTAGGCAGACATCTTCTGGCGCTCGCCCTTCGGTCGATCGCGGCGACCCCCCCCGGAGCGCTCGGCCCTCTCGCCGCCGCCGAACTGCGGGCACTCACGGCCTCGTTGCAGCGGCGACGCCTCGCCACCTTCATCTGCTGCTCGATCGACAGCTGGGGCTTGAATCGGCCTCAGGCCCCTCGATCTCGACGGCCGCCCGAGTCTCGGAAACGAGAGCGGCCAGCTCGAGGAGGCGGCGGCGCCGCCCGGCCCCCAGGGCGAGGCTTTACTCCGAAGTGCTCGCGGTCCTTCTTCGCCGCGCGCATGAGGTCCTTGTCCTGTTTCCAGGCGCGGCCGGTGCGACGACCCTCGAACATCGCCCAGAACTCGTCGAGCTGGTACTCTACAAGTCCAGGTCCTCCAGCTCTGCCAGCAGCGCCTCGGCGTCGCCCTCGTCCTCCTCGGCCTCCGAGTCTTCATCGTCGTAGAGGTTCTCGTCGGCTTCCCCACCCTCGGCACCGATCTCCGACCGACCAGAGGGAGGAGGAAAGGGTGAGGACTGAAAAGCAGAGCTGCCAGCCGGGTCAGAGCCGGGGCCGAGGCCCTCAGAAGAGGACGCGGCCATCATGTTGCCTGACCGCCCTGAAGACGACGCTCTGCACCACCGGCGTCCATCTGCTTGAGCGCCCAGGCGACGCTCTTGAAGTCCGTCTTGCCCTGGGCCAGCGTCCGGAGGTCCTGAGCGCCCTGCCCCGAGAGGCCCGCTCCCTCCTCCAGGAGTAATTAAGCCCTTCAGCTTCTCGCTCATCCATAGGTCGCGACCTTCGGTTTCGAGAAGTTGCGCCCCCCGTCGGCGCGCGAACTGCGCGAGACCCCCCTTGGCCTCGCGCGTGGCCTCGAAGAAGGCCTTGCGCCCAGCGCGTCGTATATCATCTCCTTCACGCTCTCATACCATGAGGTCCATGCGACCTAGCAGGATCGATGCCCAGCCAGTCCTCGGACACGAGCTGCTTCTCGCTGATGTCCTCGAACTTGGCCTGGAAGCTGTACCCGAAAGCTCCATGAGTTTTTCTGCCCTACGCCACTGCTTCACATCAGTATTCGTACTCCAGCGCCGCATGGCTCTCTGCCGCTGCCTGTAGTGACCCCAGCCAGGCCAGGTTGGCGGGTCGCTCGCTTCCCCAGGAGGAGGCGGCGAGCCGGCCCCGCTGGGTGGAGGCGATCCTGTCCCGCCCCCGCCAGGCGTCCAGAAGGAGGAGCTCAGGGAGATGATCCGCAGCATAGTGCTCGACACTACCGGGTCGAGGGCTCAGACTTCGGAGGGCGACTCGAGACCTCGGGGTGGACGAGAGAACGACGAGTGGGCTGATCCGGCCAAGGACCCCTGGGGAGGTTCTAAGTCCGGAGCTGGCGAGGCTAGCTGGAAGGACAACGGCTGGAGAGACTCGAACCCCCTGGACAGCCGCGAGGGCCGCTGGGAGGATACCAAGCAGGGGAATGCGTGGGCCTCC